CAGGCTCCAGTCGCGTGGGGCGGCTGGAAGGAGCTGTTGTCTATGTGTACACACACACGCGCATATACGTGTGCGTGTGTGTACACACACGTGTATGTATGTATGTATGTATGTATATCCCCACCCATATACCTATATATACTGTGTGTATCCCCACACATACGTATATTACACATGAATACACACCCATTACACATGCATACACACCCCTATAGAGCTCTATGTATATTACACGCGCGCACACACTTGCTGCGCGCGCACGCGCCTCGCCAAGGCGAACCAGGGCTCGTTGCCTGCTGCAAGCGCAGGGCCCCGGGGGCAGCGGCAGCCGGAGCCCCTGGAAGCGGGGACAAGGCGAGGCGCGAGGGCAGGCCGGGGGGGCCCATCCCGTCTGCACTTCCGAGGGCAGCTCCCCTCTCCGCCCGCGGGCTCCGACCCGCAGATGCGGCGGGAGCAGACCGGACCGCCCGCCCGCCTTTGTCACGTCGGACGCGGCGACTTCCCCGCCCGTGCCCGCCGCCCCACCGCTAGAAGCGTTCCCCTGCCGCGCCCGGGGGGGCTCCGCCGGCTCGGGGCCCCCCCCGCGCCCTCTTTCCCCCCGCCGCGCCTCCCCCGACAGCTGCTCCCGCGCGGCCCGAGCCCCCGCGGGATCTCCCAGCAGAGCGGAGCGGAGCGGAGCAGCGCAGCGCAGCGCCGCGCCCCTCCCCGGGGCAGGGGGACCCCGTCGGGGCGCACTCACCTCGGGCTCCGACCTGGGGGGCGAGTCCCGGGGGCGACGCGCGGGCGGATGGGCGGCAGGGCCCACGAGGCGCCGGGAGCCGAGCCGACGCGTCCCCGGGACCCGCCAACCCGCCGGCTTTGGAGTTTGGCGCGGAAAAGCCCGGCGCGGGGCGGGCCCCTGCTGCTTGGCCGCTGGTGGCGGGAACTGGGCAAAGGGGCGGGGCCTCATCCGGCCGGCGGGGCTCGGCGCTCAGCCCTACCGGCTCCGCTCGCCGCTTTGTTTCCTGCTTTCCGGGGCCGCGCAACGCCCCCCCCCAGCAGAGCTCCCCTTCTGTCTAGCAAAACCTTCCCCTGCCTTCTCTTAAAAGCCCCCTCCCCCCCAAAGCTCCCTCTTGTCTAGCAAAAGCCCCCCCAGGAAAGCTCGCCCTGCCTTCTATTACCCCCCCACCCCACCCCACCCCACCCCAGCAAAGGTACCCTAGCAAATTTACCCTTCTTCCTAGTAAAACCCTCCCCACCAGCAAAGAGAGCCCAGTAAAACTGCCCTGCCTTCTATTAAAGCCCCCCCCTGGGGAGACCTGCCTCAGGCGGGAAATGCAGCCCCTTGGGTGGGAGGGTCTCAGTGCACCCAGGAGCACCAGTCCTGGGCATCCTGGGACATCAGGCCCAGGATGGAGGGGGTTCAGCTGGGGCTGTGCTGGGGAAAGGGGTTTTGGGCAACCCCGTCCCAGCACTACAGCTCTGTTTCCACGTGTATTGCAATGCCCAGGGCTGATCCCATAGCTACAGGACTCGGGGGGGTGTTGGCTACAGCCCAGATGTGCGACTGGTGCAGGGGTAGGTGGCTCAGTCCGGTTAGCTCAGGTACGCACGATAGTAAATGGCAGTTGTTACGTTCTCATGCTGTGCCAGGCCACATGCCCATCTCACCCAGTCTCCTGTGTCACAAGTGACAGAAAGCGGAGGCTGCAAGGGAGAGTGACCTGGGTCTGACCAGGGGTTTTCCCTCTGTTCCTCTCTCACTTGCAGCCTCTGGCAGCATTTAAAGTTTAGGAAGCTCTGATTCAGAGGCCGTGTGCCTCACTCCTGCGCTCGATAACTACTGATTCCCCTTTCCTCCGAGAACGTATCCTCTCCCTTTGTGGATCTGGCTACACCATCAGGATCCAAATGAGCTCCACGCTTTAATTGCACACTGTAAAAAAGAAGCTCCAGAAAGCCACCGTAGCACCTGTTTGCGAGAAGATAGTACATACCTGCTCAGCTGCATGCTTTTGCTGCTACCAATCCCCACGCTAAATAAATGAAAGTTAGCATGGGCACAGCTGTACATGCCAGAGCTGTCTGGTGGCCATGTAAACAGCCCCTGGGAAGTCCTCCCTGGTCCCCCCACCCCTGCCTTGGTGAGAGCAGTCAACCAGCACTGCAGCCTTTGGCACAGAGGCATGCACTCTGGGACCCCCCAGGAGATTTCAGGACAAGCTTTTGGGATCATAGTGTCACATAATAAAGGGAGGAGTAAAGGCCAAGAAGAAAGAGCCCCGTGCATCTCTCTCCCCTCTCTTGACCGACATGCTTTTGATGCCGCCCTCCTCCCCATCTAACTCCTCTCCCAGAATCTGTTCCAAAAGAAATGCAGGATTTAAAGATTGCCTTAGAGCAGATGCTTATGTGCTTCCCTGTTTTAGGACCAGTAAGAAACATTTGTCATCGCGGTTCTGTGGTTGTGGGTAAATGTGTCATTGCTTTCCACATAGCTAAAGAAAAAAAAAAAAACCATGAGAAATATGGATCCCAGAGTACTGCCCAGTCTGAATCCAACTACTCCAGACCAGCAGACCCTAGGAGACAGGCTCCTTATGATGAAGGCTGGACGAGGCACTGGCAGAGAGCGAAGAACATGACTTCTAAAGTTGAAGGTCCTCAGTAGTCAGCCTTAAGAAAACTCTGCTGTCCCCACTCTCTATTGGGGGGAATCAGCTGATTTCTGAGTTTTTCCCTCCTTCTTACCTGCATATGACCTCTTAGCTGAGGGGCAGCACAATCTAAGAGGACAGGACACTGGACCGGTGGTCAGGAGACCTGCATTCTCTTCTGCGTTGTCCCCTCTCGCTCTTTGTCAACCCAATTTAGGGGGCAGAGATTGTCACTTAGTAGCTACATGCTACTATATAGCAGTATATAGCTACTGTATAGCATATGCAGAACGGACCCTCCAGGTATTAGAAGACAAACAGTAAAAGAATTCATTATTCCTGGGGCCAAGCCCGACAGCACCTGCCTGCTCCTGGAGAAGGCAACGAGTGCTGCAGGCACCCAGCGCCCATCTCAATGCAGTGATGTCACAAACCTTTGACATCACAAGCACAACTCCGCCCTGGGGGAGCCCAGACTGCACCGAACCTCTGTTCTTCCCCGATGTCGGTGGTGAAATCAATTGACATCGTGGTGCCCGAGGATAAGGTCTATTTGGCAGGCTCCAGCGTAGATGGCCAAGTGGTTCTGAGTCTTAACAACACTTTGATCAACCCTGTAGTGAAGGTAGAGCTGGTAGGAAGAGGTTATTTGCAGTGGAATGAAGACGTCGGCGCGGACAAGGATTACAGCAGGGATGTTGTCTGCAATAACAAGGCTGACTACATCAATAAGACAAAGACGTTCAAGATAGAGGGTAAGTCACTGGGACCCCAGGCTTCAGGCAATATGTGAGAGTAGAGCCCGTTCACTAGCAAATGTAGGAATATAAGGGATCGGACCAGTGGTCAGTCCAGCCCAGTAAACATGTCTCAATCCAGACTGCTTGCTAGAAAGATATAACAAACCCTGCAGAAGGCAAATGTGGGATAAGCTGGCCAGAGGCAGAGTTTCTTCCTGACCCATATGACTTAGGGGTCCTCTAAAACCCTAAAGTCATTTTTTTAACATTTACGGTTATAGTTCTAGATGAACTTATCTGTATAAATAGCTATAAATATCCAATCTTTTTGCCTCCTCTACCCTGATAAATATTTGGCCTCAGTGAGCTACTTTTTTTTTTTTACGTTTAAATACAAGTGGTAGCAATGAATTTCACAGGCCAATTCTGCATTGTGCAAAAAGGAGCTCTCTTTGAATCAGTTCCACCTTTGCGCCCTTTCCAGTTTGCGGACTCACCGTGTGTACCTGTATTCAGGAACGGTGTGCAACAGCGATTTTGTAAATCGGCCGGTGGGTGACAATCCATGTTTGTGTGGATTAGGTCTGTACACCATGCATAATCCACTGAAATGCCTGGGTTTTGGTACGGAAGGCCGTGTTAGTTGTACGGATACAGCAAGTGGCCACAGCAAGTTAACGAATGAGCCAACAAAAAGCCGGCAATGAGGATCCATCATCGAAAGGCATTTTGTTTATGGATTTTGCCAACGTAGGCTTTAATTTATTTCTGTAGTGGGAAATGTCCCAAAGTACATTTTGTAACTCCAACGAAGTCTCAGTAATATGAGACTTCACGATGGCCGTGCTATCGAGTCTTTGCTGAGAGGCAGGGAACTGTAAGTAAACAGTGGGAGCAAATTCAGATTAGTGAGCGCCTTGCTGTGTTTTTATATATAATTCACTAACCACAAATATTTACAGGGATATAAAAACAGTGGGGCATGAGCTTTCTCCTGGATAACTGAGATTTGAAGGGTAAGCTTTTGTCGGTGCATTAAAGCCTTGGATTTGACCTCTGACCTCTTATGTTCAGGCTCCAGCTCCTCCTAGAGTATTAGTATTCGAAGGCTGTGCCCTCCCAGAAAGGTCATGTGCAATAAAGTTGCTTTAGACTTGACCTATTACCTCTCACCGTGGCATGCAAATTCCTTCTCCGGCAGTTGAGAGTTGTACCAGATATTATTGTAAATCCAGGAGGAAAACCTCTTTCCATTGCTTAGCATTACAATCACAAGCAGTGCTTCTACAGCACTTTTCAGCTCAAGATCTGAAAAGCCAAGGGGTCGTCAGTCTTGCAGGACAGGCCCCTAAATCCATATGTAGTCATCTAAATAAATGTACAGCTTTTCAGCTGGGCTAAGCACCCACAACTCTCAGAGGTCTGTCACGGGAGAAAATCATCCTGCATTCCCGCAATGTTCAGAGCTCCCTGCTGAGGTCAGAAAGTGCACAAGATACGTTCAGCTGGACAGTGCTAATGCTGATAAGTTTATCGTCCCTTCCTTGTTCCTTATCTCATAAAACACTGCTCTATGACTGCCCATGTTGAGCCATAGATACTTGCTCTTTCAAGAAAAAATTGGCCTCATTTTTTCTTTTTAACCCTGGCAACCTTCAGCCTTCATCTTGGGTGTCTTCCATCACCTCGCTGGGAGAGAAGGAAACGGGCTGACTGGCTGTCTCTCTAGCAGCAAAACAACATATTTTTCTTTCCATTGGAGGCAATTGTTCATGACCAAATGTAACTCACAGTCGGGGGGATGCGAGCCAGAAACCCATGCTGCTCACACAACCGGCTTCAGACTCTTCACGTCACCAGGCAGGCTTCAGGGAAGGATCTCGTGCTCCTATAGAAATCCTTTGTGCTCTTTTTAGAAAATTCAGGGTTATACTCCAATCCCTCCATGTATACACACTGACACACTCTCACAATTTTCAAGGAGATGCAACGGGGACACCTCCCCAAGTCGCTCAGTGTCTTAGGTCACCTGGAAAGATGACTTGGCAACTGCCAGGTAGTCTCTTCCCTCGGGTTCCCCAGCCAGGTATTTCTCCAATCTCCTATTAAAGACCCCCAAGGTAGGGGAGGGCACCACCTCCCTTGGAAGCCCATTCCAGACTTTGGCAACCCTTTCTGTAAACTTTGCTTATTGGATATCAGCTCACAAAGGGCAGTGACTTATCTCCTTGCATATTCTTAATGTGATCCCTTGCATTAGGCACATTACCAACATAGGGCAGCATAAAACCTGTTCCCTATCCTGGAGCTGCCAGGGTGACCAAAGATATCTGGGGCTGGGTAGAGGTTTGTAGGTAGAAGGTAGTTCAGGGAGAGAGCTAGTAAACAGAGTGAGTCAAGGGCACGCTGGAAAACAAGTGGGTGAGATGAGAGGGAGGACTGCAGGAAGCCGGGTGTGGAAGAGGTGGGAGGTTGCAGCAAGATGGAAGAGGATACAATGCTAAAAGTGGGAGAAGGCTTCAAAGGGCAACACAAGAAGGAAGGAGTGAGCAAGCTGTCAGGGGAATTATTCTCTTGAATTCTTTTCTGTATGAAAGAAGTCAGTGTGGTAGATACTGGTATGATCCAGCCTGACTGCCACAATCTTGAGAGAGGGACGCAATTAGGAATTAGCATCCAGGCCTCTTTGGGAGCCGAAGTTCCTAGTGCCAGAGCTGTACAACCAGGTTTCATCTACACCTTTGATTTTTGCCAGTTTAATGAACTCGATTTACTTCTACCAATGCAAAGCCCTGCGTGGACTTGCATTTCAGTGCAAGAGCCTCTTATTTTGGTTGAAATGAAAGGTGTTATCTTTGCAGAGCCACTCAGGAAAATTAGTCTGAATTCACTTTAAAGGAGATTAGTTAAACTATATTAAGCCGCTACATGGATACTCCTGTTTACAATTAGAGAGGCCTTCATTCAATTCAGTTTAATTCACTTTGAAAGTGAAATTAAACTAGATTGAATTACGGCAACTTAAAATGAATAAGAGCTTTTCTACCCTGGGACGCTCAGGAAAATGGACCTGAAATAACTAAAGGGGGAATTGAAAGTGGATTAGCTAAACTGCATTACACCCCTGTGTGGACACTCATATTCAGAATGAAAACGGCCTGCATTTGATTCTGCTGGATTTACTCCTGGTGTGGCTCTGTGGTGACAGGTCCTGATTCACTCCAACAAGGCAGAAATGAGCCTAGTATACACTGACTTAAATACCTGCACAATCCTTCGCACCAGCGTGTTCAAAACCTCACCTTCAGGTTGAACCACGGCTGCTCTATATGAAGACAGATTCTTAGAAATGTGTCTTACCCACACTAGCTTGCACAGATGAAGTGCATCAACATGGCAGGATCTGAGAAAATCAGGGACATTGGGGTCATCTAGTCCAACCCCTCCTGGGGGCAGGATCATCCTTAGCCAAACCATCCCATACAAGTCCTTGTCCACACAATCAACCTTGTCCTACAACCAGATTGCTTCTGCATGGTGTCCCCTATAGTCTGGAGCTTTAATCTTTATATTAAAGCTCCTTCATCTCATTCCAGACAGGGAAGAGGGCTTTAAAAGGACTTTGGAATGGAAAACACTCTTACTCCAAGGCCCCTTTTTTCCGTGTCCAGACTAGTGTCAAGCAGACCCAAGGTGCAAATAAGAATAAAGCCCTAAGCAGTTCAAACAGCTAAGCAGCAAGGAGATGACTGCATTACGCTGCCATTGCCAAATTGGACCATGAGCTATGGTTTCCGCTTTCTGCATGTTCTTGGGGTGTAATTTTTATCTTCATTTATAATCCTGATTGAAGCCACGGTTCTGCCATCTGGTGAATCTCTCGTGCTGCGAGGAAGCTATTACGGAGACCTGCTGTCAGTGGGGAAACCTGGGTTAAATGTGTTAAAACTTGAGGAATTACTGAGTTTGTCTACGAGGGTAATAGCAGCAATTAGTGGAACAAAATTCTAGCAACCTCTCGCCACGTGGTAACGTTGTGCAGAGTTGCTACCTCGTTCCAGAACAATTTGCATGATTATTGCAAATACATAGCAAATGTTCTCTGCGAGTGAAGCAAGAGGAAAAGGCTGGGTGGAGAGAGCTGGTTTTATCACCTCCAAGTGCGGCACGGCTAAAACCAGGAAGAGCCACGCTGGAGGAAAGAGGCCCCTGTGTTTGGGTTGTACCTGCAAGGTGCGGCCACCCCTAGTGCATAGCCACTACATGAATTGCTGGGGGCACTCAGGATTGGGTGAGAAATGCAAGCATCTTGCAAGGAGAAATGCAAACTGCCCCTTCCCTCAGCTCCCTGCAAGAGAGCAGGGGTGCTCAACCTGCAGCCCTGAGTGCCCCAAGTGGCATGGGCAACCTCTGAGCGTGGGCCCCAGCGGATCTGGGGGAGAAGAGGCAGCATAGTAGCAGACAGGGCAGGGAGCAGAAGATCAGGCACAGAGTAGGGAGCAGAAAGCAGAGGAGGAAATTGGGCAGAGGAAGGGAATGACAGTGGCACCTGGGGAGGGTGCGGGGCTGATTCGTGGCACACCTGCCAAAAAGGTTGCCCCCCGCACACTGCCATAGAGGAATGCAAAGCATCCTGTCCATAGGAGCTGAGCTTGAGAAGTAACAGCATGTTGTCTGGCTTTCAGGGAACTGGCTGGACTTGGGAACCCACACCTTTGACTTCCACTTCACCTTGTCTACCAGACTCCCCTCCACGTTCACCAGCAGGATAGGCTATGTTTCCTACTTCCTCCAAGCCTCCTGCTCCAGTCGTGAGCTCATCTTAGCTAAGAAGAAGAAGTATTTACTAGTGCAGGGGACCTCTGGCATCCGTAAAGACAGGCTACAGTCCAAGGTAAGGCTGAAGGTTATTCCACCTGGAGACAGGAGGAGAGAACGTGTAGAAAGGTCCACCTTTGAGCTCACCCCCTATCTAAATCTGAGTTAATTTCTGTGAGTCGACAAGCCTGTGCCACGGGACCCCACAGGATACTAGAATTAGCAGCAGCGTGGGAACTGGTCCAAACATGGCTTTCTGGCCCAACTGCATTGCTCCACTGGCAGCCAACGAAGGGATCAAAGCACTGGAGTAATGTGATCTCATTAACCCAGGTTGGTCAGCAATGGTTGCCCTCTGCTCTAAGCACTGCCCGTGGCTTCATTCTCCGGTGTGCAGGCCTGACGTGTCTAGGAAAGTCAGAAAATTAACAAGCAGGGAAAGGGTAAAAGATTCCAGACCTTTTCTTTCCATCATCAGCAAAAAAAAAAAAGGGCATAGACTCTAGATCCTTTTGAAGATGACATACAAACGCAATGTTTTAATCATTCCATCCAGGAAGAGCACACACCAACTGCTGCAGCTTCCTGAGCCTGACGAAGGGTTTTTGAACCCGAAAGCTTGCTTAATAACTATTCTCCAACCATTTGGGTTGGTCTAATAAAAGATATCAAATTCACCCAAGGAACCTTGTCTGCCTATATCCTTAGACCAACACGGCTACAACCTAAACCCCTGCAGCATGTTTTAATCAATGCACTTAATCACTCAAAGAGAGACTGGAATACCATTTCTGCAGTTGCTTAGCTATCCTGCTGTCAGAAGCTAATGGGCGTCATCGGATGCATCTGGAATCTGCGCTGCACACAGGATTAGCACAAGTCTTTTCTAAGCGACCTTCGTTGCTGGAGCCAGCCAAGGCCGCAGAGCTCCCTGAGTCTAGCAGGGCAAAATAGCTTCTACCTAGGAATGCTGAATGGCTTCATGGAGAGGGAGTAAGGGGAGAAAAAACCTGGATTGAATGCTAAAGAGAAGGGTTTCACACCAGGGCTTGTTGCATTCTTCAAGGTGCAGGGAACATGCATGCCTCACGGTGCAGGAAAAGTCACTGAACAATGCAACATCATCGCCTTCTCACGAACCATTTTCCCTGAACAAAGCTATGCATGGTCTTAGGTCATTGAACGTATTTCAGGTCCAGGCCTGCAAACATTAAGGACATGTTGACATGACAGAACCTCTGCCGCTATAGCTTTGCCAGCACAGCTGTGTTGGCAGAGCCCGCTCGTGGAGAGGCAGCGTATGCCAACAGAGCAGAGGTTTCTATTCTCCCCTCCTCCCCAAAGGCTCGAAGCTAAACCAAAATACCCTCTTCTGGCAGCATACTGGCCTCTACACTGAGAGTTTTGCGGGCATAGCTCTGACCTTTTTACATCCTTAGCAGATGTAGTAGCTATGCCACCAAAGTTTTTAGCATAGATCAGACTTAACATGCCGGGGTAACCGGACTCCTGCGAATAGACTGGCTGAATTTAATGGGCAAATCGTGCTGCTCTGTAGATGCCTATACAGGATTAAGGCCTTTGTTTGTATCCTCTCCACGGCTGACACCGGGTATGACCCTTATCTATTCCAGAGTAAGAGTGGAGGAGTTACTCAGGAAAAGCTTTAAATTCGCAACCTACGTCAATCCAAATTAGCATTGATGTGAAGAAAGCCCCTTCATGTCATGAAAATCTGGCCCATGGAGCCCAGTTCTGCGCTCTCCCTCTCTCTCGATTGTAAATCAGGATGAACTCTTTTGAAACAAATGAACTCAGACTAACACACGTGAGACCCAAGAATCTGGCCCAGGGGCTTTTACTATTAAACTTGTATTTCCTTCATATTCTTAAGGGTCTGTGTATATAATAACACGGTGCTTTACTGTTACTCTCTTTAGGGTGTCTTTATTTTAAATGGCAGCTTCAACACGTTCTGCATTTCTCTTCCTGACCCTTGCCCTAGCCGATACTTCTCTATCCCGCAGGGTGCATGGCAACATGAAGTCTTGGGGGTCTGCAGACTTGTGTCCATGTGATGCGGCCTCGGTTGCGGTAGCCGTGATTTCTGCCTGTGTGTAAGGATGCTAAGTGATCCCGCTGCGTCCTGTGAAAGGCACTCACCACTTTGCCTTTCCCTCGCTCCCTCCATGTAGGACCCTTTTGTAGTGGAAGTCGACAAGGTCGTAGTTTATCACTGCTGCTTCCAACAAGGCCGCGTGGTCCTGAGGATTTCCCTGGTGAAAAACGTATTCTGCCCCAGTGAGAACATCACCTTCACCACCGAGATCGACAACCAGACGGGCAAGTCCATTAAAAGGGTGGTTTTCACCTTGTACTCCAATGTCCTCTACACGGGCTTCACCGCTAGGTCAGAGCCACGCACCCTGGAAGACCGAAACGTACTGTTAAGGCTGGAGCCCAGGATGGAAGCTATGCCCTTTGAGGTCACCAGGATCACCAACATAATGGCCCTGCCCAGTCTGCTACCTGTCAGCTGCGTGTCCTTGGCCAACAAGATCATGGAAATCCGCTATGAGCTGGTGGGAACCCTTTACCTTCCCTGGTCCATGTCCAGTGTTGTGGCTAGAGTGCCCGTCCTCATAGGAACCATCCCCACGGCCGATCCCGAGGAGTCAGGCAGTGGCGCTCATCCGAACCCATAGCAAGGAGACAACACGCGAGGAGCCAGGAGCCGGTGTGCTGAGGTCCAGACAATAAAGATTTGCTGCAAACATGCTCATGCCAACTGTCTACTTTCACAACAGGGCTTTGCACAGCAATGCTCTGGATTCAGCAGGGGTGCCAGGACCAGGCCAAAACTGAGTAGGAGTAGCTGGACCCTAGGAGAAGGGTGATAACATAGAGACCCCGTGCCCTCCCCAGCACAGAAAGGCAGGCAGTTCTACTTAGAGCAGAAAACCAGTCACTAGACCTGAGTTTTAAGGGCTGCTGACATTATTGCTTGGCTTGTCTGTGCCTCGGTTTCCCCAGAAACAATGCAAGAAGCAGGAGCACAGGTTGAGCCCGCCCCCCTCCCCAATCTTACATCATAGCTGGCTTGGGCAGAATCATAGAAAGTGCGGGTTGGGAGAGACCTCAGGAAGGAGGAAGGGACACCTGGAAAGGAGTGCGACTTGCCCAATGTCACACAACAGACCTTGCCACAGACCACAGGTGTCCTGTTTCCTATGTCATTGCTCTACCTATTTAGCCCTACTGCCCCTCTTGGTATTGCTCTTTCCCCTTTCTCATTGGGCCCCACTGACACTTGACATAGATTCATGTTTGAACAGGCAGGGCGAGGGACCGCGCTGTCTACAACCTGGGGTGGTCCTCGGGGTACCTTGTGTCTTGGTTGTGCCTGGGTTGTTCTGGGCAGGCCAGCAGTGAAGTCTGTTATCGAGGCTCTGCTCTCACACTGCTGCAGGCATCTACTCAGCGCCCTTGTCTCACCTGGGCTCTGTCTTCTGTGCCAGGCACAGACCAGAGCCCAGCCATACCCTTTCCCCACAGTGCTCCCAGACCACTGGTGTTAAAGAGGTCTTGGGGAAAAACCAAGCATTTCAAACTCTCTAGCTCTGTCCCCACTTACATTCTGCAGCCATGGCTCTACTGCTGATGTAGCTTCTCCGGTGCTTGCAATAGCGGATGTTCTCTTGTAGACTGGCCGCCGGCTTTCTCAATACTGTGTCACGCACATACGCCTCGGGCTGTGCTCGGAGGACCACCCGGGGTAAGACGGCTGGTGGACAAGCTGTGTGAGCACCCTGTTGCTGGCTGCAGGGGAACAACATTGGAAGGATTTAACAAAACATGCTAACACAGATGAGGCTCCCGGTCCGGAGTCCGGTTAAGGATCTTAATTAAGATGCAGGTTGTGCTTCAGTTAGGAATCTCGTTTGGGGTATTATAGAAAATTCACGTTGGAAGGGACCTCAGGAGGTCACATCTGGTCCAACCCCCTGCTCCAAGCAGGACCAGCCCCAACTACATTATCCCAGCCAGGGCTTTGTTGAGTCAGGCCTTAAAAACCTCCAAGGGGAATCTCATTAGTCATGACCTGCCTGCAATGAAGCCTTGCTGGCTGTCCTTTAGGATACTGCCTTCAGTTAGCCTATCAATAATGGATACTTTGATCATTTTTTCCAGGATTTTTCCAGGGATTGAGTAGGGCTTTTCCAGGTAGTTAAAGGCTGCTATCAAATCTCCCCTCAGTCTGCTGTTCTCCAAACTAAATAAACCCAGTTCCCTCAGCCTCTCCTCATTAGTCACGTCCCCCACCCCCCAAACCATCTTCATTGCCCTCCACTGGATTCTCTCTAATTTGTCCACATCCTTTCTGTAGTGGGGACCCAAAACTGGACACAGGACTCCAGATGCAGAGCAGAATAATTGCTTCCCTCGACCAGCTGGCAACGCTCCTACCAATGCAGCCCTGGATGCCGTTAGCCTTCTTGGCAACAAGGGCACACTGCCAGCTCATGTCCATCTTATTGTCCACTGTCCCCCCCAGGTCCTTTTCTGCAGAGCTGCTGCTTTGGAGAGGGGGCAGGAATCAGGGCAGACTCCTAAGGAAACTCTTCAATCCCTGGCCCAAGGGACATAACCCCCAGCCCCAAAAACACAGCTGACATTTAGTGAGCCCTTCCTCCCCTGCCTAAAGGCTCGGGGCTGTGAGCCTGGGAAAGAACGGAGAAGCAGGTCTGGGCTGAGAAGCAGCAGTCAAGTGAGCCCGAAGGCTGGGAGAGCAGCCAGGAACAAGTCAGACTTCTTGCCGCTGCTTGGGCAACCTCAGGGGTGGCTGGGGGAAGGAGCGACTGGGGAGGCAGGAAGGACATCACCAAGCCTGGGAAGGAGGAGCAGACATCTGCACATGCTGGGCAGCCGGAGACTGCACAAGACCCCTTTGTGTCTGCGTCTGCTGGTGCAGCGGGGAAGCAGGGAGGGGCTGTTAGCAAGCCCTCGGCCAGGAATGCGCTGTGCAGGCGGCCTTGCTGGGGAGAGAGTGGGGTGGGCTGGGAAGCACAGGACCCTCCAGGGCTTCATCTCACACCTTAAAGCCCAAGCCCAAGGGAGGGCTGAGTCCAAATGGTGTGCACTGTGAGAAGGGGGCTGGCAAGCTTAATCCGATCACTGCAAAAACTGGGCTTTAAGAGACAGCATCCAAATAAAGGACTAATTAACCAGGGAGAAGCCCAGCATGGGCTGTATGTCTGACTGAAGAATTAAACAGCTCCAGGAGTGGCTGTACCCGGGCAGGGCAGGGCACAACCAGCCAGGCGGGCATGGAGGGACTTGTCAGTAGCTGCTGCTACAGAAGCAGCTGCAGCATCGCTCCGCGATGTGACCGACTCCACCAGCTGGAGGGGGATGACACATGACATCCCCACCAAGGCAAGGACCTTAGAGATCCTGCACAGTCCAAGACTTTGTCTGACCCACAAAGGGAGAGGGATGTGAAGGCGCCCCTTGAAAACTGTCCTGAGGAGGCTGGCCCTCCGCCTTCCCATGGCACTGCCCTTCCACTTGCCCTTAATGTCTTCACATGAGGAGAGGAGTCCCCAGGTCTCTGGCACTGGACCTGAACCTCAACTGCAGGCCAGGGTTAAGGTCCAGAGCAGGACCCAGCATGGCTGTGCTGAGACGCTGGGTGCCCTCAACCTCTCTATGGAGCCACTTTGAAGAGGGGAGGCATACGGGAGACAAGGGCTTTCCCTGACTGAGTGTCCAGTACTGGGAGGATGGGGATCCACTGGCTACCATGGAAAGGAGCAGTCAAATCTTTAGGGCTGGATCCCATGTTGCCTTATGTCGCTGGCCCCCATGAACAGCACCCACTCGGAGAAGCGCCAGCATGCACCAGGGTGAGGAGGGGGCAGAGGCTGCAGCGGCTGCCCTTGTTGCAGGCTCCGGAGGGGCTATGGGAGGGGGTGCACAAGCTGGGGCTGACCGTATCTGCTCCTGCAGCCCTGTGCCCCCAGCACAACGTGGAGGGGGAGGTACAACCCACTGCTCCACCGCCCCACCCTGACTCCAGCACCAGCGGGAGGTTAACCAGGTCCCTCTCCATCTCCTGCCCCAGGCCACAGCCAACACTTGGTGTAAGCAGGTGCAACACCACGGAGGCCCAGCAGCAGTTTCCACTGCCCCACACAACATCCCATGCACACCGGGATGTAGGGAACAGGGCAACAGAGGCCGCAGGAGCTTGCCATTCTGCTGCCTTTGGGCCCAGGGCCCAGTCGCAGGGCGGGGAAGCAGCCGCAGAGCACGTGCGCTGCTCCGTGGCAGCCTGGAGAGAAGGATTCCTCCCCACCTTCCCCCTGCGGGTATTCACCACCCAGTTCAGGGCTGGGAACAAGCAAGCGCTGTCACGATGCCTGCCAAGTACAGCTTGTTCTCTCTAACAAGCCACGGCAGTGTCAGCCTGGCCCCAAAGGCTACTCCTGGAGCCGTGCGGCTGCGCCAGTGAGCACGAGCTCCATCGACACGTGCTCCTTCGCCCTTGCTCTGCTAAGGTCCTGCATCCCAGGGCTAATCAGTCCATTTTGGCCCAAGTATACACCATGCTCATCTCATCACAGGCAGTGACCCTGACCGGCAGCTCCTGAAGAGTGAGGATGCTGTAGGGAGGAGCTGCAGGAGCTGGGAGGAGAGGAAAGGATGCTTTCCATCACTATTATCAGCTGAAACTATTTCTACCCAAAGGACCCTTCCCAGAGAAAGGAGTGTCAGGTGGGAGAGTCCCAAGGCAACAGAGAGGTAGGAATGGCTTCTGGGGTCTTCAGGACCCCTCATCATCTGCAACAAGAGGCAGAGAGGTGCGGGGAGCACCCACCATCCCAGGACACCCAATACTGTCACCCATCGATTGCCCAGGGAGGCAAACCTGAGCTCAGAGTCTCATGAGCTACTTGCTGGAAGCCCAAGGGCCTCACTTGATTCAAGCATGATTTGGACATCAAAGCAAAGGACCCAGCCCACAAATACTCTGCGCTTATCCTTGCCTCTGCCCTGGGAGATGAATGGGGTGAGTTGTTGGCGGAGTTCATCAGCAGAATAAACCCAAAGAGCATCAGTGGTGCCTTCCCGACAGCAGTTGCAGTCCCCTTGTTGAGGGCCACGGGATCTATGGGAGGGCGCTGGAGAAAGCAAGGAGGGAAATGTGCAGCATAAGGTCCTACCCCTGCCAGCAGTGCGACCTCACTGCAGAAAAGGATCCAGCCTCTTGCCTTTGTTGGTGCAGCGCTGTGCAATGGCAGCAGGTATCTCTGCGGGGGGCTTCACACCATCTGGGTCCAGCCTTGCCCCTTGCTAGAGAGCTGGTCCCTTCTGCTCAGGCATTTCCTGTCCCCCAGCACCCCTTCACTGCTGTGCACAAACCTTGCCATCTCCCATCTCTCTGCATGCAATTCCCCACACTCTCCGCCATCCAGGGCCCTCCGTGGGAAACGACTTCTTTCCGTGTTGACTTCACAGACAGCCCATCCAACAGAGCTTTTGCTCTCTGTGATGGAGATGGAAGGGTTAATGTTTAGTGGCTTCTTGCTGTACTTCCCCAAAACTGGTGCCTACCAGGCACTGGGCACACGGGTTGAGGTTGCATCGTGGTGGGAAACTGCCCAAACTAGAAGAATTTAAGGAATGTCCTGGGCTCTCAGATGCTCTCAGGGTGGGAATAGAGGCCCCAGGCAAGGAGCAAGCAGTGATGCTCTCCTCCCACTTCTGTCCAGCTACCTCCTTTCTGCCATCCCCTCCCAGCCAGGAGTCACCGAAGGATGATCCCTTCTGCATCCCTATACCCCCAAGTGGGCTTGCGATTATCTCTCTGGGCTCACGGAAGGTGTGAGCTGCTCAGTAGTCACCGGGTCGGGGGGCAGAAACATCACCTGCCAAGCACCAGCTGCGCGCGCCAACCTTTACGAAACCCGGACTGCGTTCTCAGAACATCCTGTCGCCCACAGCATGGGTCGGAGGCTGCGTGTTGGTGCTCGGGCTGGTATTGAGGGCAGTCCCACTGATTGCTTAAGCCCCACTTAGGCATTGCACAAATCATGAACAATAGCCACAAGGGTGAGCGTGCCCCACCCGCCCGCACGCTGCTGGGCCACATTCCAGCCACGCGTGGGGGCACATGAATTACAGCCTCGTGTCAGGCCCCTCGAGTGGCACAACAGACATGAGTACCAGGAGGCTTTTGCTACACGCCCCAAGCAGACCTAGTTAAACTCCCTCTCACCTGCTTGACAACAGGCAGCTGCCACCAATTTACCCTTCCCCTTCCGGTGCTGCCCGCCAGGTGCCTTAACAGAAAGCGGGGCTATACACTCACAGCTCTGGTTCCTCTCAATGCACGTGACAATCCTACCCCAGGCTGGGCACCTGGAAACTAGGAGATGCATAATATTGTGCGCCTGTTAGGCAAATCTGGCTCATTCTTTCCCACACCTCAGTTTCCTCAGCTGCAAAATGGGGATAAGAAGGGTCAGCACAGTGTGTGTGTGAAACAAGCTTTATGATCCCAGGGAGAAAGGCAGGGCAAAGCAGTAGCTGTGAGCGTGGTCGGTTGTTTCTAATGACAAAGGCACTCGCTGCACCAGCTGGGTCCGGGGCCTCACTGCTGCAGACACCAAACTCCCACGTGGTCCCTGCACCCTGGAGCTCAGCGTTAACCTGAGAGCCGGCATGTCGCCATTCCTTGTTGTGCAATGCAGCAGCCAAACAAGATCTCTCGCAGGGAGGGAGCTCTGGTTCCTCAAGTAGCAACGCAGCCGCGCTCCAGGGCAAGCAAGAACGGACTTGGGAACAGCCTGCTTTGGGCTCCCAGGTTTTAAGGCACTTTGTATTTGCTTCTCCTGTCTCTTTAGGGGATGCACTGTAATGTCGGGGGCTCCGGTGAGCAAAACAGATTCCCTGGAGGAGATAACGTGCCCCCCAGATACGTCCGCAGGCACACAGATGGGCACTGGTTTGCATGGAACGAGCTGCAGGGCTTGGCGTTTAGGGATTTAAGCAGTAGGAGCTCAAAAGGGAGCACGTGAGGAGCTGCAGAGAATAAGTGGGCTTCATGAAAAAGAGACTGGTTCCCGAAATCCAGATTCAGCACTGAAGACAGGATGTGAATGACTAGTGCCTTGTGGTTCCTGCATAGGACGCATCCCACATTGCCACCGTGCCTACATCATGCACCCCAAATCCTGGCTGTCCTGGGGGTTTCCACTTCGGGAAGGGTGATCTGGGGTGCTCCAAGAGCTTCCCAACAGGAACCCCCAAGTGTGCACATGCACACGCAGCTCCCCGGGAAACGCAGTCAGAATCGGCGTCCTTCCCAATTCCCAGCCTGATTTCATTCCCAGCCTGATTTCAACTCTGCAGGGCCAGGGGCATCTCAGCTCCCACACCTGGAGAAGGAGGAGAGCTCTCCCCTGCCCTCCAGCCCCATTGCCTAACAAGAAGCAGTACATGCCTTTAGCCACTTCCCTCTTCCCCGGCTTGCAAAACCCTAGCCCTGCCTTCCCTCCCCAGGTGCCATTCCTGATTGGCGGCGCGAGACCATGACTCCTTGATTGGTTTCTTTTGGCTGTTTGTTATCTAGACAGATGCTGAGTAGAAGATTGCCCTGGACAAAGATACCTCGGGAGGCAGCAAGGAGCCAGGTAAGCCTGGGCTGGGGCTGGGGCGCAAGCGCGCCTTTGTCTGCATGCATGCAAACTTCCCAAGGACTTGCGAGTCTGTCGCAGGCTAACTTCAGAGCCCAGTCCAGCGCTTGGGATCTGGTCTCCACAGCAACAGCGAGGGAGAGGAGAAACCTCTCTCCAAGTTTGGAGGCCAGGCTCTCCGTCTGCCCCGTGGACTCTGCTCTGTGGGTTACTGCTGCGGCTTTGTCAGGGGAGGATTTAGAAACTCGGGGCCGAATTCCCTGTTGTTCTGCGCCTCGTGCGGCTAGGGATGGCGACGTAGAACAAGCAGGATTGCAAAATCCAACGGCGGCTTTTGCCCTGGGTGTCAGGAACTGCACAAAGTGCAGCGCAGGGGGGAATCGGGCCTCTGCTTTGGCTCTGGGGTACTGCAAGGATATAAAGGGCCTAGTTAGACGCTGCCCTCTTCTCCTTGCTCCCGTCAGCCTGTGCATGAGAGACCCTTTATGTCCCTCGGGGATCAGGGCTAACGGGATGTGCTGATTGCACATAACGCAGACCACTAGACTCATGCTTGGAGGAATTGCTTAATGCTTTGTTCGTGAACTGGGGCACCCGGGTCCCTGTCGCTGTCTGCAGAAAACCGTCTTGACAACCGAGCATTGGGAGACGGGTAGGCGATCCCAGGAAGGGTGGCTGGACCGTGAAGTCTGTTAGCAAAGCACTGAGTGAGTTCTGGTTTGCTCTGTTGTTAAGGTGGTGCTGGGCCTGACTGGGGGCAATACAGGGGCAGGCATCAGAAGCTGATTTTTCTGCAGGAAAAATTGTTTTTTTTTTAATGGAGAAGTTGATTTTTCTGCAATGCTGACACCCGGTACAGGCACAAATAGCATGAACTAGCTGGGGTGACCTCGGAGTCCACTCCTTCCTACCTTTCCCCATGCAGGTGTGTAATGCAGTGAAGCCCAGCTGAGCTGGCTTCCTGCAGAGGATCTCTTCATTCAACAAATCAGTCTAGAAATCCTGTACAGGGACAGCAGCAAATCCTTGGACGTGGCAACAGCTGAAAGTGCTTTAGAAGCTGTCACCCGAGGAAGGAAAAGCAAAACTCTGTTGGGACTGGGAGACTTCCAGGGCAGATGGATGCTCTAATGCTGAGACTGTGACCATGAGCTCTGTGCTGAGCAAGGCACCGTTACAGTCCTTGACCCTAAAGTCAGTCTAAAGTCAAGAAATAGGAGGCACTAGGAAGGCTGGAGGGCACCATGAGGTTGCTGCCCCTTCCTTGCCCAGCGTCTCTAAGTCACGTAGGTACTCCAAGTACTAAGTCGCTAAGTACTCTCCCATTCAGCTACAAAAATCATTGAGGTGAACTTTTTCAAAAGCAGCTAGTGATCCTTGGGAGAACGGAAGAGACATATCCTGCCCAAGCGCAGGGGGGCTGGACCTGGTGATCTCAAGCGGTCCCTTCCAGCCCCTAACATCTGTGAATCCTTTGGGGAAGGGTGGGGAGACATATCCAGTTTTGAGGTCCTCCTTAGGTCTGATCTTCACCGAGGCTGGGGACCCACAGCTCCCAGCAGCTTTGAACCTGGGGCCCTGCATGTCTCAAGTTTGGAGACCCAAATTATTTGCCCTTCCTACAGATGTTTGTCTTGATGGCTTCTTCTCTTGTCTCGAAGCATATTACAGCCACCTCCCTTAGTCACGAGGTGTTGTTATTCCCATATTGCAGCCGGAGGGCTAGGGCGCAGAGGTTACTTAACTTGTTTGGCCGCCCAGCAAATCCACGGCAGATCTGGGAAGGAATCCAGGTTCAGTGAAGTGCTCTGACCACAACACAATGCCACCCCCCGGCTGGTCCCCCCCCCACCCAAATTAAGAAATGCAGATAGCATTTAATCCTGACGAGCCCTTAATTATCCAATCCGCTGCTTTCATAGTACATAGCAATCCCGCAGTTCTTACCAGTAGGCCGAGAAAGGCTGGACTTCAATGGTGACATGAGAGATTTCAGATGGGATCTCCATCTGGAAAACGGCAAAGAAAGCTGAATTGGCTGACAGCAAGCAAGAGCAGCCTGTTTCCACCTGCGGGTGAAAAACTGACTACGATCTAGTGATCTCCTGGATCATCCAAACTAGCCATGTCTAGGCTGATACAGCCCTGGAGGGCAGGATGGTTGATTTAGAGAGACCCTCCTGCAAAGATGAGCAAGTGTTTCTATTGCAGCATTTCAAGGGGATGAAGGGGCTTCTGCTGTCCTTAACCAGAGAACAGTTTCAGTTGCTGAGCGAGGATGGGTGTATATAATAATAAGAGAAAGAAAGGGTTTAATTTTTGTCCACCGAGAGGGCAGGAGGAAGACCCACCTTGTCTCTGGATCCTGGGCGAGGCCGGATCTACTTAACACCTTTGCAAAACCAGGTATATAGGTTACTGCCCACACGTCAAACTAGCAGTGCCACATGCTTGGTGCCACCTACACAGGCTTGTTCTGACAAGTCCTCCCACAAGCATTGTGTCACCGACACAGTCAAATCCAGGTGGCAAACAGGTCTTTCTCTCTTAGGGCCCCTTGGTTCAACACCAGATCTCCTGTAGCTACAAAGGAATGGCTCGAGATTTGTCACGCAGCGTCTCAAGCTCCAGTTTGCCGAGGCAGCGATCGTGCGGTGCAAGGCTTTAACTATATATTAACCCAGACTCCAAGGCCACTGCAGCTGGTTGCAAAAGCAAACTGAAATTCCCAGGCTAGAAACCAAAAGCACGTGCGTGCAGCAGGCAGCGGGAGCAGTGTTGAAATAGCTTGGAGCTTAGCAGAGGACCCCTGTGACAGCCCTGCCAGCTGATTCAGCCTGCTCAGGGTGGGAGCATCAGGGGAATAACCCATCACAAGGGCGTTGTCTGAAGCTGCCTGTTTCTGTGACCGGGGCACCAGGCCCTGCCTACGTCAGGAAAGTTTCCTACAGACTTCCCTTGGTGGATCATGCCCGGATGCTGACAGTAATGCAGAATTCGCTGGACCGTAGCCCCTAGTTCCATCCTCCATCCATGTGCAAGACCCTCTCGGTTGCATTTGGTGCTTTCAGCTCAGTTGCGTGGCCCAGTTCTGCACATGGCAGGGACCCCAACGCCAAGCAGTGAGGACACCAGCAAAGTCCCCTGGGCTGTAGGCAACCCTCTGTGTGCCTTCTTATGATCCCCCGAGCAGACAAATCCTCCCACAAGTCACAGGAGAGGAATCATAGGACGGCTGGACCTACCGTAGCACTGACGGGCACAGCAGGAGGCCTGATGGGTGCACACGGCAGCAGTGAAGATGGTGCATACTGGTTTGGGCTCTGCAGCGTGGTTGCATGCAGGCACTGACAGGCCCAGGGCAGCTGTGCCCATGCTGCTGTGTACATGGCAACTATGGGGCTGTGCCACGAGAGACCATCCCGCCCCATGGCATGGCAGAGACGGGGTGACTCCATGCTCCATGGTGTCACGTGCAGGATCAAGACCTCTTGTGCTGAGCCCTGCATAGACCTAATGCAGAGGGAGCCTCCATCCCGAAGACCTGGCCCTGTCATGTACATTGGCCCACAGGGTTCAAAATGCCGAGGCAGCCTGGCCAGGCCCCGTGTCTGCGAGATGCAAATGCTGTTTCTCCTGTCCCCCTGCAAAACCTGATCTACACTCCCCAGGATCCCCGTTTGGAGAGGCGTCCTGCTGCAGGGCAGCAATCTAGCACGTGCTCAAACCCCGTGGCTTGTAGAGGAACTTGAACCCAAGTGCTGACGGTGGGTGAGACTTCGCAGCGGTGCTGGCCATAAAATACAAGCTGCTGGCCCTCGGACAGCTGGCTGGTGAGGACCACCAGCACTGAGACCTTGCAGTCCCTCGAGTCTCCCGTAGCTGTGTATATAGTGAGTCTGTGCTCACACCCCCCGCTTCAGTGATTCCCCTTGTCCTCCTTTCTCCAGCTTGCTGCCACCAATGCTGCGTCTTGTCCTCGGTTAATGGTCAGCTCCTCCTGATTCATAGATTGGAAGGGACCTCGGAAGACCATCGGGTCCAGCCCCACTTGTACCAAGCAGAAAAGACAACTGGGGTCCAGTGACCCCAGCAATCCAAGTACTCTGTGCAATGCACAACGCCATGGGAATCCAGCCTGGGGCCTTTAGGTATTACTGGAGTGTTGTTATAAATAAGGGGTGGGCAAAATGCGGCCCAGGGGCCAGATGCAGCCCGCCAGGCCATTGTGTGTGGCCCGCGGGGCCCCTAAAAAATTTAGAAAATTCATATTAATCTGCCCCTGGCTGCCTGTCACGCGGCCCTCGATGGCTTGCCAAAACTCAGTAAGCGGCCCTCCACCCAAAATAATTGCCCGCCCCTGTTATAAATGAACAAATCAATAGGAACAGCCACTAGGCAGCCAGTGCTGTGTTTGACAATGGCCTTTCAGTGGAAAACTGCAGCTTTTCATGGGAACGTACCGTTCTTGTCAGGAAAGGTTTCTTGCGCCCAGGATGCACTTCCTAGTAAAGCAGGAGAGAGGGGGAGACCCACCCTGCAGGTCCCTGCTCTGCTGAGGGTTTTTCACCATCACTGTCTTTTCATTTAAAAAAAAAAAAAAAGAAAAACAAGCAAAAACCCCCTTCGAGGTTTCTGTTTGAAGCCAACGTGGAATGGAAACATTTCTGAAATTGCACAGTTTCACAGGATGGGGAAACTATTTCCTCTTCCACGTTTAGTAGCTACCCAGCCCCAAGAAAAGACCTGTGCAGAGAATCAGCTTAGCCGCCCAGAAAGCCAAAGCATCAGGAGATGCCCCTTGTCCCCTACTCCCAAGGTTGCTACGGCTGGTGGAACCGCTCGGGAGTTCAAAATGACAGGAGATTCAGTAAAGTTTGCACGGTGTGGGCACAGACCCATGGCGTTGGCCGGGAGAGAAAGTCCAAGATGCGATGCGTTGGCGGGGAAGGGCTGGATTGAGCCCGAGAGGAATGTGGCAATAATCACTAAGTAGATCACAACAACGGAGACAACAGTGCTTATCACTTCCTCATCGTCTCTGGATGCGACTGCTCCCTTCTGCCTTCTTGATGAGAGCTGACATGTGCCGACTCTGCCTCCTGTTAAGGAAACAACCCGACACACGGGGAAACCCATGTTAACATCAGAACGAACGGGGGAAATCTGAGTTTTTCAAAGTAGTTGAGCAAGTCCAATTGTCAGGTTAAAAAAAATAGAATAGCTAATGCTGTTATTTCTCTTTTTTCAACCCTGTTGTCATAAAACTGCTCGTGCTAATCAGATTTCTAAAATTAGAACGCCGAAAGCCTGATTTTACTACTCATTGCATAGCTAAGACATGTTTTCTGTCTTGCAATGACTGCAGTCAAGATGACACGTTGAATGATCTCCTTTCTAGCACCATTAAAAGGAAAGGCAGTGAGCAGTGATATGCACCATCAGCGTTTTGCACCTGCAGAGCGTAGGCTTTGGTTCGAACGCTCTCGATCTTAGGCTGGAGAGAAAACCGTCAGACTGCAAAGTTAAGGCAAGAGCATCCCTGTCTTCCTCCAGACAGGTGCAGCAGACCTAAAAAGGGTGAGAACGGCCTGTCTTGAGCTCAGGGAGCTCTACTGCTCAAGTCAACGGAGCTGCATCGCTCCAGATGGTTTGGGGCTGTGGGAGCAGACTGGGAAAAATGCCATTACTGCCCCCCTACACACATGCATGGATTGTTGATAAAGGCCCATATTAATTCATGAAAATTATCAACCTGCATCGTGTAGCTATTAAACGATCTTTGCATGTTTTTCTCATAAAGAAGCAGTAAGAGCATCCCTGAAGTTCCCAGCTGCTCTGGGTAATGAGCCCCGTCAGTGTGGTTCTGCGCTTTCCACCGACTGTTACTGATAACATCAGAAGTCATACAAGTCTCGCCAGTACAAGTCTTCTTTCTCTCTCCTTTCAGCTGCACCTGACTTTACCATGGCATCTGAAAACAAGACCACAGATCCTAGTCCTTCACAAGCTGAGGACCCCCTGAATGTGGAGGAACCACTGCAAGCGGTAGGTAGCCTAGGGCTGCTAGTCCTTGCACATGTAAGCCCGCACACCAGCCAATGTGCCTCACTGCATTGCCACTAGCCCAAAACCCAGGTGGGAGAGTAACTCATCTGTCCAGACTTGCAGTCATGGCTCAAGTCAAGATCAATATGGAGACTGCAGTTCTCCTTGCTCGGAGGAGGCTGACAGCTCCAGCTGCAGGTGGTGTGCCATGAGAGCGCAGAATGGTCTGCAGTGGGTTTGAATTGGGGCAGGGCGATGTTGAACTTGTACGTGACGAAGTGGCAGCGTGGCCCAGAGCTCTGAATGGTAAGCTCAGCTCTGCTGCTGACTCACAATGTGGTCTTGAAGTCCTTTGACCGCTGAGCTGCTGAACTTTGGAAGAAAGAGGAGATTTCATTAAGGGCTTCTCTGAGAAACTACAGGTTACATTCGCCCACCTACCAGAGAACGTGCCACTAATGCCCTTTCTCTCTCCCGCCTTGCCTAGAACGTGGTGAACAGGGTGACCAGCATACCCTTGATCCACTCTGCCTTCAACCTGGTCTCCTCCGCCTACAACTTCACCAAAGGGACGCACCCATACGTCACCAGTGTCTGCACCGTGGCAGAGACCGTGGCTGCTGTTGCAGTGGGCAGTGCGGTCGGGGGCGCCCAGCCAATTCTGAGCCATCTGGAACCCCAGAGTGAGCACACGCTAGGATGGGCGAAGCCTGCCGTTTCGGGGTGGCAGAGCTCTCCTGTGACCTCTGAGACTTCACTGCTGGGGCAGCTCGCGACAGGCCTGCAGGGAATATTGATGTAGCATGAGAGAAGAGCAGGGGGGAAGCTTCCTCATTCTCCCATTCCAGCTCTATGTAGTCCCATGGGGTTCACTTTACAGCTGCTGAGTAGCAGTTAGGCAGCTATGGTCTGTTTGAGATGCCCAATATAGGGCAGGGAGAGAAAATAGCTTAACGCCTTTCTACTGCAGATGTTCTGCCAATAATGGCTGGGGGATCCCCATGGCCCCCAGCGCTGCATCTCCTCCCCTAGCCACATTAGAGAGGCTGAGGGACCTGGGCTGCTTGAGTCTGCAGAAGAGAAGACCAAAAAGGGATTGAATAGCAGCCTTCAGCTCCCTGCAGGGGGTTGCAGAGAGGATGGAGCTGGGCTGTTCTCAGCGGGGGGCAGGTGACAGCACAGGGAGCAATGGGCTGAAGTTGTAGCAAGGGATGTTTAAGTTGGATATCAGGAAAAAACTCTCTCACTAGGAGTGGTGAAGCACTGGAATGGGTTACCTAGAGAGTGGGGGAATCTCCATCCTTGGAGGGTTTTAAGGCCCGGCTTGACAAAGCCCTGGCTGGAATGAGGTAGGTGGGGCTGGTCCTACCTTGAGCAGGGGCTGGGCTAGGTGCCTTCCAGTCCCGAGGTCCCTTTCAACCCTCATCTTCTGTGATTCCAACCAACCTGGTTAAGCCTTTCAAGCAAGAGCTAAGCTCACCTGGCACAGCCTTCAAGGAACTAACTGGTAGATGTGCTGTGCCACTCCTTGCAGTAATATGTGCTGTTCTCCAGCATACCACTGCACAGGCCGAGCTTAGTGTATTTGCCCTTTTGCAATCTTTTACCACAACTCTGCTAGTATGGGTATGAAGCCAAGCTATAACCAGTTCAGGGCATTAACCCTGTCCCTTGCTTTCTCTTTAGTTGCAAAAGTAAATGAGTACGCCTGCAAGAGCCTGGATCAGCTGGAGGAGAAGCTGCCCTTCCTCCAGCAGCCGACAGAGAAGGTGAGTCCCCCCGCTCTGTGAGGCTTCATGGGGGAAGCTCTTTGTCTCACTTGGATGCGGGGGTTTCGAGCAGCCGTCTGGAAGCAGACAAATGGCAGCGGGAGTGACTGAGTCACATGAAACATCTTGTAAGAGAGAAGAGGTGTTGGGTGAGAAAAGGAGTTACCCTCTCATAGAGAGGATCGGCGCCAGTGTCCATTTCTGGGAACCAAGGGGGTGTAACGCCCATTCACACCAACCTCAGATGCAGCCTGGCTGCCCTTGCCACAAGCATGGGGATGTTGCCCAGCTGGGCAAAATATTTTTGAGAGAGGGGCAATTTGAGAAGGAAAGTTCTCCGAAATCTTCCCTCTGGCTCTTGCCTACAGGTCCTTACGGATACCAGGCAGCTGGTTGCCACCACAGTGATGAACGCTGTGGATACTGCCAAAGACGCGGTGGCCAGCAGAGTGGCTGGAGCTGTAGATCTAACAAAACATGTTGTCCAGGACAGCGTCGAGTTGACCAAATCGGTGGTCTCTTCCACCGTCAACACGGCTCTGGATGCTGCCACTGGCACAAAAGACACGGTGACCAGCAAAGTGAACGCGGCCGTGGGGCAGGGCAGAGAAGCCATCCAGGACGGTGTGGAGATGACCAGTTTCATGGTAAACAGCAGCATAAACACAGCCAAGGCAGTAGGCAACGTGGTGGCTAGCGGAGTAGATGCTGTGCTGTGGAAGTCAGAAGAGTTGGTGGATCACTACCTCCCTGTGACAGAGGAAGAACTGGGTGAGAAAGTGCTGAGCTGCGGTCAAACACAACTTCCCCTTTTCCCCACCCAGGCACAGATCCTGTTGCATCTGCCAGCCCAGAGCCTTCTCCTGGCTTGGGGCAGGAAGGCTGTTTTGCATTTCTCACCCCATTGGTTTTCTCTAAATCCGGAGTTGCCCTAAGAGTTCCCAGCGTTTGTCTTGCTTACCTTGGAGTCGGTGAGCAATGAGAAGCAGGGGACATGTTCATATTCAAGTTCACTGCTCTGCAGAAATGCCTCCTGGCAGGTGCCAACCAGTCCAGATTCAGTGTGTGGCATTGCTACTACTACTGATGGTAACCTCCACCTCTTTTGTAGCACTCTTCGTCCATCAGTCTCAAAGCACTTTCCCAAGGGAAGCCAGTTTCTCTATAAAACCCCATTGTACAGAGGGAGAAGCGGAGGCACAGAGACAAGGAGTAGGGATTAGATCTTTGTATGTTGAAGATCCTTGGACCACCATAGTTTGTGGGAGGTGGGGGTGTCGATTGGATACCCTCCTGTTGGTAACCCAACCTCTCTCCTATTATTCCCTTTAGTTCAACTTGCCGCATCTGTGGAGGGGTTCAGCGTGACTTCTGTGGAACAGCAGAAACAGCAGCAGAGTTATTTTGTGCGCCTGGGATCCCTCTCTAACAAAGTGCGCCACCGAGCCTACCTGCACTCCTTGAACAAGTTGCAGCTCGTCAAGAAGAACACCCAGAATACTCTCTCCTACCTCCAGCTGGCCATAAATCTGGTTTGAAGACGTGCCTTCCTTCTCTTCCCTAGTATTGCCAGCCCTTCTCTCCCAGGGTTAAAGCATGCTGCTCTCAGGGTGCCCGGGGGCTGCGTGCCCACCGTGGTCCCTCTCTGCACTACAGCCTGGTTGGGCTGGGCCTGTGCGCTCCCCCTTCACAGGCTGCTATAAGCTGAGAGCTGGGACCTGGTCCAGCTTCCTGCTGCTCATGCTGTTCCTTGTGTCTCCTCCTCAGATCGAATCTGTAAAAGAAGGTGCTGGCCAGAAGCTTCAAGAGGGCCAAGAGAAACTCTATGAGCTGTGGCTGGAGTGGACCCTGACCCAGCCAAAAGGGACGCAGGTGAAACTGTCTTCTCAATCAGAGGTACCTCTGGGGGGAAATATTTAAAGCGCTCTCCCCTCTATCAGTGGAAGGTTACGCTGAACTCATTTCTGTCTCACCTGTCTCCTCAGGTAGAGCCTCGTGTTCTAGCCATGCTGCGTATGATCACCCTGCAGCTGCAACCTGCCTACACCAACCTGATGAGCAGCATTCAAGGCCTCCCCAGTAGCATCCAGGAAACAATGCAGCATGCCCTTAGCAACATCCAGCAGCTCCAAGCTTCCTTTTCCAGCGCTTGCTCCTTCCAGGACCTCTCCACAAGCATCTTGTCCCAGAACCAGGACCGAGTGGTGAAACTCCGAGAGTCCCTGGATAACTTGCTGGATTACGTGGCAAACGGTGTTCCCCTCAACTGGCTTGTGGGCCCCTTCAGCCCACTGTTCCAAGCCACAAAGGCATCACAGGATGGTAGGATGACAGAGAGAAAGTCGCCCACGCCAGAAGAGGGGACCCCCAAAGCCCCAGCAAAGCAGGTCACCGAGACTCCCCAAACCCTGGAGAAGCAGGTCACCGAGGCTCCCAAAACCCCAGAGACACAGGTGACCAAGGCTCCCAAAGCCCAAGAGAAGCAAGTCACCAAGGCTTCCAAAGCCCAAGAGACCCGTGAAGCTCCCAAATGCTCAGAGAAGGGGGCCTCTGAGGCACCTGCGAAGGAGGCAGATAAGTCACCCGAGAAACAAAAGGAGGCCGCTAAAGTACCGAAAAGAGCACCTAAAGCGCAGAAGATGGAGGCAGCAGGTGAAGCAGCAGAGGAGCTGAGCACCAGCGTGCCAAAAGAAGACCCCTGAAAGGCTCCAGCTACTGCAGCTCATTTCTGTGGGAGGGACACGTGTATAACTTCGGTCACTTGTACAGCTGCCAGCCCCAACGGGCGGGCGACTGCCATTCTCTGCACCCAGCTCTCACGTTATCCCAGCCTCCTGCGATCCACCTGGCCGTGCGTCTTGCAGGAAACTCGCTAACCAAGGTGGCTTGATTCCAGCGAGACGGTTGTGCCCGTCATCCTCGTGGTTTCTGAAGCCTGCTGCGCTGGGAGGGGGGAGTTCTTAGTCTGGCTTTATAAGCTGCGGGTTCACACAGCGGCATGCCTGGGTTCTCGCCCTTTGCTGAGACTACGCGCCTAGGAGAGCGACAGCGTAGCAAAAAGTCAGGCATCAGCACTAAAGGCATCCCAGCTGTGACAGCTTAGATCAAGAGGGCACTGGATTTAAGTTTTGATACCATTTGCTTCCACCGACCGTTACAGCTGCCCGTTTTACACACTACAGCGTGTCACCTCCTTTCTGACCCTTCTGCTCCATTCCAGGCCCAGCTCCAGGAATGGTTTTGGTTGCCTTCTGCCCCTCAGATTTCTGTTTCCACAATGACCAGCCCCTTCTCTTGCATTGAAATTGGAGGCTGCGCTTTTTAAAGGATCAGTTTTCTGTGGGATTTGTACTCCCCATCGCTTCAGTGCATTTAAATCCTATTCACAAAAACTTACTCTGCCCCTGTTTAGTTCATCCCAAGTCCCAAGTGCTCAGCAGTCACTGAAAAGATGGCGCAGGGCAGCTTTTATGGGCGTTACTAAGATAGATCCGGCTTGACCATTGTTATGAGGCCAGGCCTGTTGCAAAGGGGAGGGTTGGGGGGGGCGGGAAGACGGTCTCTGGGATGCGCGGGTACCTAATGCCGAGTGCCTGCTACTGCTGTAGCTTGTTTCAGGGATCCAGAGACAAGCCACGTGGCTGGGCTAGGACCGAGTGTCTGGAAAATGGGAACCGTTGGCTTTGAAATAAATCTTGTTTCCAAATCCAGACAGGTTTGTGGGGCCTGCATCTGCCTGTGCGCCAAGCTGGAGGGAGGGAGGCCCTGCCGGCTGGGAGAGCCGGAGCCGAACAAAGGCAGACAGTTCTCCCTTTAGGGAGATGGAGGCTTTCAGCGCTGGCAGAGGGGCCGTGCCACCGCCTCTGCTCCACCGCCGCTCTCCTTTGTCTCCGGCTGGTTCTTGCCCCTTTTCATCGTCTTTTAGGGGCTGGAAGGGGGCCTGGCATATCGTCGGCACTTGGGCAGGAAAGACCAGATGAAATGGGCATCAAGACTTTGCTTTTTTTTCCAGCCCAGGATGGGCTCTCGGACTCCGCCTCCCCAGTGCTCGGGCCCAGGGCCCTTCACAAGGAGCCCCAACCCTGCGGGTCTTTGGGCATGGGCCAAGCCCACGACCCCCTGCTGAAGCCGAGGCCTCCAGTGCCCCCACTGCAGCCCGGCCCTCCCCACCCCGGCCTGGGAGGCTCGTGCCAGGAGCCGCCCCAGCCCGGCCGAGGGGCTGCCCCGCGCCGCCAGCTCTGCCAGGGCCAGAGCGCCCCCCAGCTGCGCGCCCCGGCAGGGCTGACCCCGCCCCCTTGGAACGTTGAGTTGCAACTCCAATGTATCCGCTGCCATTGTGGCGTCACGACGCACCGCCCCCCGCTGCGCTTCCAGGTCGGAATGCGGGACGGGGCGGGGCGGGGTAGCCCCGCTGCCCGGGACACGGTCACGAAGCCAGGCCTGGCTCGGCTGGCGGCGCCCAGGTAACCCCCTCCTTGCCCCGCAGCGGGGAGACAGCCGGGGGGCAGCGGGAGCGGGACCCGGGCGGGGTGGGGCTGCCGGTGCCCAGGGAGCAGGGCCATGCCCGACGCGCCGGGCCCAGCCAGGTGGAGGATGTCGGCAGGGAGGTCTGGGCACCCGCTCCCCAGGGAAGGCTCCGCGGAGCAGTGGGGCCAGGTCCCCCAGGGCTGGCATCCCCCGGGCTTTTGAAGCAGCTGAGCTGCCTTCCAGCAGGCAAGGGCATGGGCATGAGGGCCCCTAGGAGGTGTAGCCTTTCCCCTGCCTTGTCCCCAGGCACCTTTCCTGGCTCCCCCACCCCCCGCTTCGCCAGGAACTGTCTGCAAAGGCAAAGGAAGCAATGGAGCAGGAAGAAGAACCTCATTAAAGTGACCGTGGACTTGGAAAGTTCCCAGGCGAGGCCTGCTCTGCATTTCTCTTTCTGTTCTCGCCTAAAACGGGGCGTTTAAGAAAAGACTAACTCCTTTTGTAGCCCAGAAGTGTCTGACGTTCGTGCGGCGGTCAGTTCCCCTGGGACAAGGTGCGTGAGCAGAGCAAACAGAAACTCGGCGGGTCCGTGTGACGTGTCTGAGTCACGGAGGGAAAGGAGTAAACACCAGCGGCAAAGCTCTGGGTTTTGCTGCCCCTGTTTGAAAGGCGAAGGGGATTTTTTTTTCCTTAGAAGTTTCAGCGAATCACAATCTTTCAGGGGAAGGGATGCAACTTTAGATGCGTTCAATCTGTCATGAAGCAACTGGAGGATTTTTGCAAGCTAGGAAAAAAAAACCCCCCGAGCGACTTAAAAACAGGGTGAAACTGTAAATTTTCCCCAGGGATCTGGCTTGTTGGGGCTATTTTGAAACACTGTGTTTTGGGATGCTCTTATAAATGCTGAAAGATTTTGCAGCAAGCCAGATAGACCAAGAGCAGGCTTTGGTAAGCAGCGGTTCTGCTGAGTGCCTGACCCACAGACCTTCCACTCCTTGGCCAGGTCTGTCCAGGCTACTAGTGAGGTCTGGTCCTAAATTTAACTTGCTGCCAGAAGGCGAGGGTGAGTCCAAGCGTGTAATAGGATCCAGGGTTTAGATGTGTGACCATGGATAACAGGAGGGTCTGCAGCGGCGTTTGAGTGGATACAAGTCTGTTTGCCAGGGGAATAAGTGCACATCCTTTGGTGGATATAACCTTGGAGCCAACGAGAAGTTTCTCTACTGGGCAGTTGATTTTATAGCTGCTGGTTAACGAGGATTCCCCAAGGCCTCTGGTGTTAGCTGCAGCCACAGACAGGACTCCGGGTGAGATGGTGGATTGTTGGTCTGATCGGTTGGGTGACATACCTAAATCTGGTAATGATTTCAAGTCAAGTTAGTCCCGAGGCCTCTGTGCCCATTGGGGCACCTTAGACGAGGTAGCAACCCTCCTAGGTTAGTTGAGTTGCTTTGCAACACTGGTGATTCTTGGGGCAGAGTGACCTGGTGGTGTCCATCTCCTCTCCAGGTCTGGATGACCGTGGGCTTGTCTGCCCTTTGACAGGTCTTGTTTTTAGTCCTGCTGAGTGTCCACACACCCTCCTACCCAGGCTAGCCCAGGTTGGGGGGTGCTGGTTTAGTCTCTGACAGCCCAACCAGTTAACGATTTAGCCATTATTATTTTAAAGCACTTACTGCAGGGATACATGGGAACCATGTAGAGCCTTCCTATGAGCTTACCACGAGGATTGCAAAGTGAATGATAGACTATGGGGGTACGACCGAGGAGTGACGTTCTTGCCAAGGCACGGTGCAGATGGTGATCTCAGATGAGTCCAGGTTGGAGCACGAGGCTGTCTGCCCGTCACGTTTCTGTAACTTTCTGTTCTCTCGCAGGTCTGGCAGGTGAACTCTGAAGAGGGAAGGGACAACAGTATGACACCACAATGCTGAAACCCCTGGGGAGAGAAGCCGCTGAGGATGTGTAGCACCCAGAGCCTGCCAAGCACCACACAGAATGTAGAAAAGAAAGTGGCCTTTGCTTATTCCAGGCCCCAGAGACAGTAGTATGCTTTTTCCATTCCCTGCTTCTTCGGCGCGTTGTCTGAATAAACAGCTGATGCAATGGCAGAGCGCGCAGAGACCCAGCCCACATTTGAGGATGTCTTCAGTCTTTTATCTAGGATCCCCGAAAATAGACTCGTTAGCCTGAAGCATAAGCTGAAGCACATGAGACCCAGCACAAGCAGCAGTAAGTTACTGCATGCCATGGTCTTGCTGGCTTTGGGGCGGGAGGCAGAGGCTAGGATCTGCCTGGATGCTTTGGGAGAGGACACGGGAGCCTTGTATGTCTGCAGGACCAGACTGGGGTCTGCAGGGGTGCCAGCAGGCTGTGTGGACCCAGGGACGCCCCAGCTGGATGCAAGTGCGCTGTGGGTCCTGGCACAGATCTATTCTCTGCTGGTAGAGGAGAAGGTGTGCAGTCAGGAAGCCAAAATCCGCGCCTACAGAGCTGCCATTCAAGCTGCCAGGGCCAGTAAGGGGAGCCCGGGGGAGCGGCTGAGCAGCTTGCTGGCGGAAGCTCAGGTACAATGCGGCATGGACATCAGCCTGACAGAGAGAGGGGCCTCATTTGAGACGCTGAGATCAGACCCCACGCTGTTGCAGACTGCCAGCCCGGCCTCGGTGCCGCGGAGTGCCCCCGTGCAGATCGGGAGCAGGCCAGGTCTCTCGGGCCCACGGACCTTGCATTCCTCGGGCAGCCCCGCCTCCTTCGTCAGCCACTTCGAGATTAGCCAGTCCCCGACCGTGGAGTATATGACCCACTCAACTCGCCGTCACCACAACCCTGGGCCCAGCAAGCTCTGCGGGGGCAGTGCCAGCCTTGCCGTGCACAACAGTGGGGGCAGTGCCAGTCACGTTGCACGGGACCCCGAGCAGCTCGACAGCGCCTCCGCAAACCCCCTGCAAAGTCAGCCGAGGAGCTGGAGCCTCGGGGACCCCTGTGGCGGGGGGGCTTGTTCACCCCTGCTTCCCACTTCCTC